ATGGATGACCCAACGCCACAAACGTGCTATTCGGCGCAGTCTCGAATCGTCCTCGCGCTTGACGGTGTCGTCGCCACCCAAGTCGTCGACGTCAGTGACATCGACAAAGGAAGCTGCCAAAGAGGCCATAAGGTCTTCGCCGGCAAGGAGCTGATCTCGACGATTGCCTCTCGGTCTCGATTGTCTCTAGTATTGCCGCAGCTAGCGCAAGCCAGTTGCAGGATCGCCAGTCGTCGCTGCTGATCTGAGGAGGCTGCGCGGAAATTCGCTTCGCACATGTTAGGTTTTTGCATGCCAAAGAATCGGAGCGACGCGTGTGACGCAAAGCGCGCCGCGTTGAGTGTTGGATTCGCGATTTGAGGCTAGGGTCCGACCTCTGCCTTGCTCCCTAGCCGCCAAGCTGAGTTCTCCACCGACACCTCGCCTCCTTCTTCCTCACGATACATCAAATCCTCTGATCGTCAACTGCCACGCTCTTGTCACGCTACTACTTGATGCGTCAGGTCTGATCTCAAGGGAGATCGCAGCAGACCAAAAGGCCCTCTCAGACACATCCCGCCATCGAACCTTCAGGAGACCTCGCTGCCAGGATGGCGAACGCGGACGAGTACTGGTCCGACGACCTCGAGGGCGACGAGGGCTTCATCACCGATGTCAGCGAAGACGGATATGCTTCGAGTCGCGGTGGGCGCGCCGACGACTATGACGACGTTGAGGCTCCGGACAAGGAAGAGATCCGGGATGCGGCCCGCGACCTGTGCATGCAGATCGGCCAGTACGAATACGACGACAAAATCACCAATAGCGATCCCAACACACTCTACAACCGATGGATCCCCGGTCCAAGGGCCTTGGGCGCGCTGAGATCGCTGCGCAAGCTCTGGAAGCTCGACGACGAGGACCCGACACGAAAAGTGGCGCGCGCCTTTGCGGACAACGAGGTGCTCGAGGTGTACATTGTGCCTGCGCTGCTCGAGAGCGCAGGCAAGGGCAAGGAGGGTGACGCCATTGCACTTGCATGCACCGACCTGCTGACTGCCATGACGTGGCCATTTGACAGCATCACCGAGCTCCGGGACCAGGAGAAGCAGGGCTTCGAGTCGGACGAGCTGCGTGAAATCACCAAGCTCGACAAGAAGCTCATCGACTACAAGTCGGTGATCCTGCGCAGCAAGTCCCTCGACAAGGAATTTGATGTGCTCAGGGTCGTTATGCGGTACCTACTACTGCCAAACCTCGCCCACAGGCAGCACCAACGCACCAGCCTCATGACGGGCATCATCGGCATGTGCCTCCACCTCTTCCGTAATCTGCTCGCCATTCGCGATCCAATCACCACAAGTCTCAGCAGCGTCGAGCAGCTGTCGAAGGCGAACCTTCAGAGCAGATGCATCAAGGTCATGCACGATCAGCACGTTCTCGACACGCTGCTCATGCTGGCCAGCAGCGCGGAAGACGCCGACTTCAACGCGTGGAACGCGGTGACGAGCGAGTGCATCTTCCACATCTTTGTCGGCACCCGTGTCAAGGAGATCGCCGAAGCCACTTCGAATACGCGCCCGCTTCCGTTCTTTGACCCGGAGGCAAAATCCGACAGCACCAACAAAGCTGGTTCGAGCACCCGAGAATCCGCCGTCAGAGCGCCACGTTCTAGCTCCGCCTTGGCCGACAGCCTGGCAGCCGAAGCCAAGATGAAGCAAGCAACGTCGACAGGCAAGGTGCCAACGCGCCACTCGCGCTTCGGCACGACGATCAATTTTGTCGGTCCCGACGGCGAGCGCCGCGTCGCACGCAACCAGGCAGCGCTGGTCAAGTCGGTCGCGCAGCTCACCGACGAGGCGATGCATAAGGGCAGGCGACGGGCCCAGCGCCGCAAGGACGCGCAGGAGCGCGGAGCGCCGAAGCTCAAATCCGACTGGACGCCCGAGGCGGCAGTGGCGCTTCAAGAGTGGGCCGATACGTTCGTGCAGGCAGGCTTTGAGCCGCTAGCCAAGTCCGTCCTCAAGGACATCCGCTCCGAACGCGACAAGCTCGGAGACCTCGACGTGGCGCGCATCCGCATCATGCAGATCGGCAGCTTCTTTCTCGAGTACTTCCTGTCGCGCCGCGCTGCCGCTGCAGCCCAAGCCAAGAAGGCAGCAGAAGCACAACCGCAAGAGGAGCCGCCGGCAGACGATTGGCCATTCGAGCTGGTTGCGCAGTGGCTCGAGCCATGGGCGTTCCGCATGGTACTTGTGCGCACGCTGCAGGCGCAAGAGGCGCGGTCGTGGCTCGAGTTCAACGCGGCAGTGCAGCTGTGGATCGCGCTGCTGCGGCTGGTGGACGAACTTGCCAACAGCAAGGTCGAGCGCGAGCGCGAGGTGGCCGAAGGTCTGCAGGCCGAGTTCTACTACATGAGCGAGACGCTCGACGCGTGCCATGCGATCGTGCACTCGTACAGCGCGCAGAGCTTCGCCTTCCTCGATACGGTAATGACGTTTGCCTACGTGATGCCCAAGATGCTGGAGCGCTACGCTTCCAACAAGGACCACATGTACGTGCAGGCCAAGAAGCACGTGCGTCGCTCGCGCAAAGACGGCGACTTGGACGCAGCCGAGGACGAGGCGAGCCAGATCAAGGAGCACCTCAAAGAGACGCGCACCGAACGCGAGTTCCGCTTTGCCGACTTCCAACGCAAGCTCGCCACCAAGCAGCTGACCAAGGCGTGCATCGACTTTCTGGCGCGCTGGCAGGACTTCCACGATGCCGACGAGCAGCTCAACAAGCTCGTCACTGTGATGCACCGCATCGCCATCAAGGCCAACGACTATCGGCAATTCTTCCTGGCGAGCCATCGCGCAGCGCTGCGCAAGGTGCTCAGCGGCGATGGCATCCGTGTGCTCGAGGCGCGTGCGCCAAAGTCGGCGGCGGATCTGCGCAAGCTGATGGACTACATCCTGCGCAAGTTCAGCAAGCTCTCACCCGAGGAGCAGGCGATCTACGATCAGGGCAAGCGTCCGCCACGCGCACCGAAACCACCGAGGGTACCTGCCGAGATCGCAGTGCGCCCGGGCATGTCGCTCGAGGAGCAGATCGGTGTGGCGGTGGGGCTGTTGCTCAAGAAGGAAAAGATGCAGGCGGTGTCGTGGGTCAAGTCGGCGCTCGAGCTGGCAAGTGCGACACGCACCGAGCTCATGCTGCGCCACGAGGAGGACGAGGCACGACGACAGGCCGTGAGCTCGACGGACGACACTGGCTCTGCTGCGCTGCTGGGAGAGTTGGAAAAGGAGAACGAGTCGGTGGTGGACCGATTCCAGCCGTTTGAGCTTGCGTATCAGGGCAATGACGAGCTGCGCACGGATGCATCGCTGATGCCCGAGCTCAAGCTGCTTTGCCGCCTCGTTGGTCTGGAGGCGAACGAAGCCGAGTTGGTGCACTGGCGCTGGTCGGTGCCCAAGGAGATCCTGCCGGCATACCTGGATGAAAAGATCGAGACGATCGAGCGCTTCATTCGCGAGCCACTGGACACGCACGGTCGCGAGTTGAATGCGCTCGTGATGCGTGTCCGTAAGCCGCGTGCAGGAGGAGAGCCGGACGACGTGCTCAACCCTGCCGACCTTCCCGACGGCTGGAATGGGAACCAAAGCGACTCGGAGGAGGACGGCGACTACTTTGATCGAGCGCGTGCGACGGGCAGTCTGATCAGCGGCGACCACGCAGCGGCGGACGGCGGCCTGCTTCGCACCAGCGGAGGCAAGAAGCGAGGCAAAGCGTCGAAGCGCGGGGCGGGTGGCTCACGCAAGCCGAAACGCAGGACGCAGCAGGACTTTATCAATGACAGCGACGACGAGTTCGCGTTTGCACTGGCCGATCTGCAAGACGAGGCGACACAGCGCGAGCGCGCCGCTTCGGATTCGCATGCAAGTGACGCCGAGAGCGACAACGCTGATCGCGAGACGCCGCCGACGAGCTCCATGGCGGACGAGCAAGCGGACGAAGGCAAGGTCAACGCGCTGCAGGCGCTGCGTGCGGCCAAGCAGCGTGTCAAGGCGACATCCAAGCCGTCCGAGCCGCTGCAGGACGCAAGCGAAAGGACCAACCGACGCGTGGACACCAAGCGCCTCTTCCTCGCCGACAGCGACGAAGACGAGGACGACATTCTTGCGCTCTCATCGCAAGAGCAGGCAAGCTTTCTGCGGGGCTCTCCAAGACCGGCGGCGGACGACTCTTCCAATGGCATCATCAAGAAGCGCCGACTGGCCATCGTCGACGATGAGGATAGCGACGACGACTGATCCGCGCAATCTAACACTTGTCTCGTCAAACCCAAGCTGCGTAAGAAGCACTACGGCATTGCATGTCTGTGTCGTGTGTAGACATGTGCACGTATGCGCGGAGATGAGAGTGTGGGTTGCTGGTGCGGGGTTGTTGACACTTCCGGCTAGCCATGAGCCATTTGACAGCCGGCGCCCGGAGCGGGTTGAAAGCGCGAGAATAATGCCGGGCCCGGGGGCCACACGCCTTCACGCCGGTCGCTGACTGCGCTGTGCTGTCTGTGTGCTGCTGCGTAAGTGCGCTTGTCGATGTGGGGATTCTTTCTTTTGGGGTACGACTCGAGAAAAATGCAGCTGTGGAGCGCGACGCTCAGACCAGTCGAACTGTGGGCCGGTCGCAAGTTGCCGTTGGTGCCGTTGGTGCCGCTGGTGCCGTTGGGAATCGATGTGATTTTTAGATACGCAGTTTCGCAATCGCTCCCGTCGCTCTTCACCATACTGTTCGCAAGAGAACCCTGGATTGCTAACAAAGAGCTCGTTTGAGCAGCCCGTGCAGACCGCGACCGCAACATTGCAGCCATACTCGGCCTCAGATCCATAGCAGGGCGGCTTGGAGCCGTCGTCCGAACCTCGCCCCTCGCGCTTGCTCCTGCAGCCGTACGCAACCCTCCTCCTCCTTCTCAACGTCGTTCGGCCGGTCTGAGCCCTTCGATATCCGCATCGAGGCTACATTTTCCATCGCGCAACATGGCTTCATCGAGCATCAACACGAACGGTGCCATCTTGGCGCACCTGGCGCATGCGCTCGCACGCATCTCGCGCATCCCGCCACGCGTGATCGCCAGCCCGCCTACGCAACCGCGCCGCGCATCGGTGGCCATCCTCGTCCGCGTACGCCCCACGCCCGAGGACGAAGCATGGCTCGCGCAGCACTACGATCCAGAGGGTCAGCATCCCGTTGGCGCTCCTGCGCAACCTGGCACTGCCGATCCGAGCGCGAGCCAGGAGATGGCCCAGTCGGGCGTGCATGTCTCGCAGGCCTCGCTAGGCCATGCCTCGATGGCGTCGAGCGTGGGGTCAGTCGACCTGTCGACGACGCTCCACACCTTCTTCGAGCAGCCGTGGGTGCAGCGCGGCACGCCCGAGATCCTGTACATCAAGCGCGCCGCGCGCATCGGCGATAACTGGTCCGCCCACGTAGCCTTCCCCGGCGGGCGAAAAGAGGAGGGCGACGAGAACGGCCTGTACACGGCCATGCGCGAGACATGGGAAGAGGTGGGCATCGATCTCGCCGAGAAGGAGTTTGCCTGCGTCGGACAGCTCGATGACCGCGAGATCACCACGAGTCTGGGTAAGCGTCTGCTCATGGTTCTCTCGCCGTACGTCTTCGTGCAGACCTCGCCGTTCAGCCCGATGCCCGACTTGCAGCCCAGCGAGGTGGCTTCGGCACACTGGATCCCGATCTCGCTGCTGTATACGCCCAAGCCCAAGTGGGGCACCACCTCGGTGGACATCAGCAGCAGGCTCGCGCCCAAGTCGCCGCTCGTGCGCTGGGTGCTCCGCGCCCTCGTAGGCAAGATGGACTTCAAGTGCATCTTGCTTCCTAACGAGCCCGTGGCCGTGGCCGAGTCGGATGAAAACGAGGACGACGCGCATCTGTACGCCGACTCTTCGATGGGCGACAAGCCAGGCGTGCACATTGCACGCATGGAAGAGGGCGCCGTCCGACCCGAGCTCCGGCTCTGGGGCTTGACGCTCGGCATGACGCTCGACCTGCTCTCGCACATGACCACGTTTCAAAGCAGCTCGTCCTTTCGCTCTGGTGGGCCTACCACCCCGGCTGCTGAGTCGTCAACGTCGTCACCGCAGCGCGACTGGGCGTCGCGCCCGTCCGTGCCGCCGCTGCAGAACACATCGAGCTCGATGCCGAGTGCGGCCGAGCTCGTGTCGTCGCCGCTGGCGTCGGCGAACCGCGTGATCGCACGTGTGCGCGACGAGTTCCACCTCAACCCGCCGCCGGCCTCGCACGCACTCGCACCCAGCCTCACCTCGGTCTTCCCGCGCTTTTCCTACCCGGACGTCAACTTCTGGATCTGGTTCTTTGGCTGGCGCTACCGCAGCGTCGTCCGCGGCTGGGAGTCGAGCGTCGGCACCCGCATCGAGCGCAAGTTCAACTGGTCCGGCATGGCGCTTGGCGCATTCTACTCTGCCGTACGCAGGGCGCTTGTGGTGGCAGTTATCCTCAGGGCGCTCGGCATGCTTTCCGCAGCGAGCATCACCACCTGGCTCGTGGGCAGGAAGGTCAACCGGTCTCGAAAGGGGCTTCCTGGCCTCGGCCTCGACGAGCTCCTCGCATAGTTGTCTCACGCATGCAATGCAACGGTCTGACATGCTTGCGACTCTTTCTTTGACCGTGACAGCCTTGCTGCAGAAGGTGTGGTGGCAGAGGTCAGTTTTTATGTCGTGTGGGACGATGGTAACTTCGGAAGACGGGAGTGGTGGCAGGCTGCGGGAAGCAATTTTGGCGCGGAGAAGCGCGACAGCTTCGGCTGAGTCCAGAGGGCGCTGAAACTGAGCTCCACCTTCCACGCACCGCCGGACTTCTTTCCTACCCGACCGCGACGACGTTTCTCGCACCTCGAAGCTACGACCATGGCGAAAGCGATACAACCTTCCGCTCCGGCGGAGGCGGAACCAGGGTCTTCACGACGCAAGGCGCCGGTCGATGCGAACCGCATCCCGGGTTCGGCCGCCTCGATGCACGTCCAGGAACGCACGCAGCGTGCGTCGGCCTCTACGCCTGCCTCCAGTGTGGCGTCTACATCCAAGGCAGCCGCATCGGCGCTACAAAGCAAGGGAGCGATAGCGGCGATGCAGCCGTTCCTCGACTCGAGCACCACCGCTGCGTCGCCGATCGAGCCGACCGACATCCAGCTACTCACTACGTCGATCCTGTCCAACCAGGAGCGCCAGCGCGTGATCCTCTTCTACCAGGAGAAGCTCATCCACTCGGAACCCACGCTGTCCGAGCTCAAGCAGTCGCTCCTCTTCCTGTCGTCCGCCTCGTGGGGGCAGATTCTGGAGGAACGAAATCTCGCCCACAAGTGCTCCTACCCGCCGTGTCCCAACAGCGCCCCGGCAGCAGCAGGACCAGGCGGAAGGGGCAAGTTTCGCATCGACCTCAGGAGCAAGTCGGTAAAGGCATTGGAGGACAGGGATCTGGGAGAGCCAGGCCACACGTTTGATGAGCTGCGCGATCTGTTCTGCAGCCGTACGTGCTATGCGCGCTCGGAGTGGATCTTGCGCTGGGTGCTGTCGGATAAAGAGATTGGGCTGCGCGACGAGCCTGCGAAAGGGGACAGCAGAGGTACAGCGGTGTTGGGCGGCAAGTGGCAGAAGCTCACGGCGCATCCGGGTGGGTACGAAGACTTGGAGCTGCTCGAAGATCTGGAAGCCCAACATGGCCTCGACCTCGACGCTCCCGACGAGGCGGCTGAGGCGTTGGATCATTCAGGCCCAGATGCGGAGCCTAGTACGCCAACCGCACCCACGCGCTCGACGGGTCATACCATGGAGGAGGTGGACAAAGCGCTTGGTGGGCTCAACATTATCGAGCGTGGCAAATCTGACGGCGCGGCACTACACACACCGAGCAAACCAGCAACCCCTGCCCCGGCTGCATCCACTGCGACAGTCAAGACGGTTCCGTCACGTACGGCGTATACCGTCGATGTGCCCAACACTGTCGGCACGCGGTTCACGCCCACCTCCGCTGCTCCACCCGCGCAGGACGAGGAAGATGAGATGGACGCGCGCGAGCGCGAGATGGGACGCATCCTGCGTTTCGCCTCCCTGGCAACAGGCTCGCGCCCCCGGCCCAGGAACACCACGCTGCGAATCGATTTCTCCTCCTCCGCCACCTCCGCCCCACCCTCAACTGCGGACGACGAACCAATCGATCCACCCGACGACCCCAGCAAGGCAGCAGAACGTGCTGAAATCGCACGAATCATGGACCAAGCCCTCGCTGTGCGCCACGACCAGCGCCAACAGGGGCTCCTAGACTGATCCTCACTCCTTCCCCGCACCACTTGTACTTGTACGCTTCCCCCTCACTCGCTATGCAGTCCGCACACTCGGAGCCGGACACACATGACTTAGACAAAGCAACGTTCGCACGACGATGTTTCCCAAAAAGCGGTGCATTTCATGCACTGCAGCCAAAGACACAGGAAAGGAGGGGGGGGGGGGGGGGGG